TATTCATATTTTGTTGTTTGGTACGGTTAGCCAGGATATTCTTTGTAAATTATATTCCGACGGAGTGGTAGCATGTAAAAGGAGCTATGAAGACACTAGTTTGTTGATTAGGAAAACTGGATAATGATAGCTACTGTTGTGCAAAGCAGTTAGAAGTAGTTCATGAAGATATTAATATAATCCAAAAAGTCCCGGAAGCAGAGATCAGCTAATCAGTTACTGAACGTAACCTTACGTGTTATTTGAAATATTTCAAGAAACTATTATTCTTGAAATAACCATACATTCTTGTTGGATAGTTAAGTCTTCAATTCAGCTGTCGACGTATAGTTAGAATTCACGCGTGTTTGTTGTTAATAAGAGATTAATTCGCACATATGTAAATTACAACTAAGCATATGAAAGTTATCTTTTTTGTGGTAATTGTACTCAAAGTTAATTTCAGATAGCTTATTAAGCTAATTTGTAACTTGTTTGTAAAAAGAAAAATCTGAGATAAACTTTTCCAAACTTATGTAGCCAAGAAAGTAAACTAGCATAATATTAAATTAGTAGCGCTTATTAAGTGAAATATATGAGTTTTGATTTTAATGTTAATTAAAAATTTGGAAAAAATATTCTAATTATTATATTATTTTTCAAACAACTATTTTTGGTAGTTAATGAGGCGCAAAAACAGGTTAGAAGAATTGCTACTCTAAAATTATTGTGTGGACCAGTATTTACAGTTATCTGTAACCCATAGTAGAGGTGTAGGTTATTTTTTTTTCAATTTTATCAAGTTAAGAGTATTATTCCTGTCTAGCTACATGCCAAAATTGCTAGTGAATAAATAGGCTAAATTTTGAACAGAGAAAAATCTTTCAATTTTTGATTTCAAGACCAAAATTTGATCACTTTTGAACTTGACATGTCAGCTAATGAATGAAATATATTTACTTGTTAGCTAATGAATGAATATAAATTGTTATATCTACTTGTTAGCTAATGAATGAAATGAGGCAGAATCTGAATCTGGTCAGTATTTTTTTGAAGTTTGTTTTCAATTAGTCGTTAATACCTAGGACATAAATTAGTACCTTCATAATTATTTTCCGGATGAATTAACGTAATACTGGTACCAAATAACAATTACTACTAGCAGTTATTGAAAACGAATTGGTAGCAAAAAACAACTATAAAATTAAAAGTATTCGTTTAGGGCATACTTTTTAACGCAAAGAAAACAGGTGCTACAGTATGGCATTTTCAGGAATAAATTGATCGTAACATAAAGAACACCGTATGACAGCACCAGTAGCAACAGCGCCTGTAATCAGTGCAATGGTAACAACTGCAGCTAAACATATTGTTAGCACTACTGCTTTGCTATGCTTTGCAATCTGAAACAAAGAAATAGTTTGGTAATTTATTTGAAAAGATTATTAATAATTTAGTATTTAATTGCATTTTATTGATTGCTATTTACTTGTAATAATTTTTGTTATTTTGGCTTAAATACTTAAATATACAATTTATTATTTTATATTTAATTTTGTCAAATAAATTAATTTAATTTGTAAATTTAATTTTGAGGAGAAAAACCGAATTATTTTGTGTTATTTGCAAGCGTTGCAGTAATAATTGAAATAATAATTGCAGTTGGTCACTCTCATTGAACTTTACTTTACTTATATTACGTATTGCTCGTAATTAGATGTGAATATGAAAAGATGTTTGCAAAATACATTTAAATTGCTACTTTTAGAAAAGGAAATAATTTTTCGGATTGTGTCAGTGGAAGACTTATCGAATAAAAGCAATGAACTGAGCTAGTAAATTTATTCATTTTTAATTTCTAAATCTTCAGGCTGACCTCATCATTGTTTGTACAGTTTTGTATTTTACAGAATCATTTCTAATTTTTATTTCAACTGGTAATTTGATTGTTAGAAGTGTTAATTTCTACTACTATTTCAGCTAGCGTATATTTGTATATAAAAAGAAAAGAAGTAAGCAAATAAAAATCACTACTTTCTAGTACTAAATGATTGCACAATGTAATCAAAACTATTCACATAATTTACTTCTTCTACGCTACTTTTACGCTACTTCTACGCTCATTTTGACGTTTATCATAACAGTAGTAATGAATTTGAATAAATTTAAACTTTTTCTACGTTACTTCTACGCAAATTTTGACGCTTATCATAAAAGTAGTAATTTTGAGTAAATTTGAAATCTACTAATTTGCTAACTCTTTCAGCCATCAAATCATCGTATCGTTGTTGTTGTCCAGTATTTCTTCTTGCAACTCTGTGTACAGATTCTAATTGCCTAAAATTTGCTTTACTCAATAAAAATCAAAGCATATCTAAGACGTTAAAGAAATTTTAAAAAAATAATTAAAAGTGAAAAAATAAATGAATACTTTTTTTGAGATTCTTTGGTGTGTTCCAAAGAACCGAAAACATTTGCGATAGACACATCTGAATTCCCACGAAATGCTACTTTGTTTACTTCAAAATAAAAATGCATTTCAGAATAAGATTAGGCAGTAATTATAAAATTTATTGTATAAATTATCAAAATTTTGCTTATCAGTTTTTAATTTAATTTTATAAAATAAAATAAAAATGAAAATGAATTTGCTTTTGTATCGCTAATTATTAAATATAAAAATTTGTTTATTAATCTGTCTCACATTGAGCGAAAATTTGAGCGCAATCAATTATATTGTCGATAATTATTAAAAGTAAAAAAGATAAAAGCACGTTTAGTGTTAATAAGAATAAATATTGTAAAAATAATAATACTTACCACCGACGTATTTGATAGAAACACAGTTGGCGATCACTGTAAAGCACCATACTAAAGCAACTTTCATAACTTTTAATAACTGATCAATCCCATAAATCCATTTATGACGATTTTTCATAATTAAGCAAATTTACATTTCTGATGTTTGGTAATTACTTATTGCAATGGCTGAGTGAATGAATGCGTACCGGTTCAATCAAGTATTAACTGTAATGTTATGATGGTGTGCATACATATGTATATATGTATATATCTAGTACTTTCATACTAAATAAATTCAAAAAAATTTGCATAAATGATAAATGCAAATTTCAAAATAGCTGATAATATTTTGATGATTTAAATATTTAATTCGTTTTGAAGTTGTTCAAATATATTTTATTATACTTTTGATTAGTGTTTAGAATGTTATCTTTTATTCTGCAATTTACTTATCAGTTCCAGCAATATTCTTATCAGTATTCGTTTCTCTCTGTTCTTTACGAATTACCATTTTAATAAGCAACTCATAATTTTGTATATTTTTAGAAAGCAATCATTCCATTCTAATTCATACAAATTTATGGTTAACTGAAAATTGAGTTTTAATAATATGACTGTCTGTTTTAGTATCATACTTAATTAGTATCAGTAATTAACTTTTACAAATTTTAATGATAGAATTTGATTTCGCGGTTTGATTTTATTATTAAAAAACTGCAAAATCAAGTTACATTATACAAATTTAGCACAAAAATCAAATTCATTATTAATTTCTTAATTTTTTAATTTCTTGTAATAAGCGATTTTGATTTAAGAATAATAATTTTTTTCTTGCTTGTAATTTTAATTATTCAACATCGCATCGTACTGAAAATATTCAGCCTACTTACTTTATTGGGTCAATTTTGTCTTCACGCTTGCAATTTTTCAAATTGCTTCTGAAACTTTGTTGTCTATTTGTAATATTTTATTTAAAATAAATTTTTACACTCTAATTTTTGCACATCTGTTTTTTTATTGTAATCGAAGACTGAAATTAATGACTACACAACTTCTTCTCTTCCTAAATCTCTGCCAATTTATGCAAATAAAGTCTAATATCTAAAAGTTTTCGTAAAAAATTTTGCATAAATTTATTTTAAAATTTTCGCATTTACTTTGCAATTTGTTTAGTTATTTGAGAAAAATGCAATTATCAAGTTTTCGAATTTTTTCATCGTTTTACTCATGCATTTTTTATTATTGCTTCAATTTGCTGCATATTTGAGTAATTAT